GGGGGCCCGGGGCGTTTCCTGGGCCCCCAGAGCAGGGAGGGAACTGAGCCTTGTGGGGACCATGGACCTGGAAAGCAAGAGGGCAGTTCTCAGGGAGCAGAGGTGTCCACCAACCCACCGCACAGCCTTGGGAGGGAAAACAAAGGCCTGGTGGTGGTGCTTGCCAGGCACACCCCACTCCTCCATATACGCAGGGAACAGGGGGGTTCTTTTGCCGTTTGGTTAGTAAAGGCAGCGAGACTCAGGGCAGAGAGCATAACAGGCATGAGGTCTTGGGTTCAACCCCCAGTAACTCCATTTAAAAAAAAGCATAAATAAATAAATAAACATGATTACCCCCGCCCAAGATCAGCAAGGCCCAGGGAGCTCAGCGAAGTCACGAGGTCGCGGCAGGACAAGCGCAAGGACAAGCTCCGGCTCGGCTCCGCAGCAGAAGGGAAGGGGCCTCTCTGTCCCTGCATCCTGGGGACTCGCGGCCGGCCCTGGGCTGACCCCGAGGCCGCGGAGCCCCTGTGAGGGGAGAGGAAGTGTGCTGGGCTCTGACTTGTCGGGCGGGAAGGGCCACGTTCATTAACATTCCGGAACGCGTAAACACGGAGAGCTCTCCGGGCTGGTAATTCGCTGGCTCCCTGGCGGGAAGCGGGACCAAGGCTGCTTGCTCTGCCCTGGGGGGCGGCTCCTCCTTGGCCGGGGTCTGAATCCCGGCTGGCTCCCAGTTAGCCAGGATAGCAGGCGCTCACCGGAGTCCCCACAAAGCACCGCAGGAGCCGAGAGGGCTGCCAGGCTCCCTCCATCTGGGGCTCAAATGGCGTTTTCTAGACCATTTAGCGTGGAGTTTATTTGGGGTTTTCAAGGGCACTTGTTTCCTGGAAGGAGGGCAGACTTTTCTCCTGGAGGCTCGTCCTTCTCGAGCCCCGGCGGGGAGCAGCCGCTCTCAGGAAGAGGAAGCGCAGAGAGGGCCGGGTGGAGGTGGCCGCGGGCCGGGCCAGGCCAGCGCGCCGCCTGGGGCAGGTGCTCTTCGTCCCAAGGCGAAGGCGCGGGATTGGCTGCAGGAGGGCTTCCGGGCCTCAGCCGCCTGCACCCGGGGAGCCACACTCTCTGGCTGGGCCCACACCCCGCCTGTGCCACTGCAGGTGCCGATTCAGAATTCACTCGCTGGCAAGGCGGCCCTGGCCCAGCACAAAGCTCCTCGGGGTCTCTGTGTGGTCCGCTGGGTGGGCGGGTGGGCGGTGCCATCGGTGGGAGCAGCCCTGCCCGCCGGCGGCGTCCACCATCCACAGAGTGTGTGGCCGTTCACCTTTTGCTGAAACCCAAAGCATTCTGCTTTCTGAAACACGTTGGCCCCAAAGGTCCGGGTTTGGGGGATATGGACCCACATTTACTTCGTCTTTTTAGAGTATGTGAACCGGTGTTTTTAAATACCTCCTTGAGCCTTGCTCTAAGCTTAGCCCCTGGGGAATGGCAGGTTCCATGTGCGGGTGCGGTGTGTCTAGTGAGTGCGATGCTGGGTCCATCCACTCAGACAGGGACCACCCCGCGGCCCCCGTGGCCACGCCGGGGCCGGTCCCACACCTCCAGCACCCCGGTGCTGTAGATAACCACGGGTCTGGGCCCCTCGGGGCCCTCTGGCTGGACACGGGCAAGGATGGCCTTGTTTCACCCCAAGAGGCAGATGGGGCAGGAGGTCGTTGTGGGGCCAGATGGCCCAAGGGCTTCCCGGCCCGCCCAGCCAGGCGCCGGCTTCCTCGGGCCCTGCGGCCATAGGGCCGGACACGGCAGGCGGTCTCCCTGAGCCCCACCTCCCACCTGAGGCCGCCCGGACGTGTGTGCCCAGGACCAACGCCCGAGCCGGCCCAGGGTGGCCGTTCCCGAGGCTGTGGCCTGAGAGCGCCCCTCTGGCCCCCTCCCCGCAGCTGCAGCAGATGAAGGAGAAGAGGCGCCTGTACCCCGACAAGAGCGTGTACGCCCAGCAGGTCGGCCCGGGCCTCTGCTTCGGGGCGCTGGCCCTGCTGCTACGCTTCTTCTTCCAGGTACCCTGGCGGGGGGCGGGGGGAGCAGCCCGTCCATCCACAGGGCCCGTCAGCACAGCTTGCTGGGCCGGGGGCTGACCGGGCCGGGCCGCGCCCTCCCACTAACACCTCCCCTCCCCGGCCATGCCCCTCCAGTCAGGGTGTGGTCCGTCCCCAGGGCCCCCCACCGCCCAGCATCGCTGCCTGTGCGGGGCTAGGGGACGCAGAGCTTGCCTGTGAGATGAGGGGCACAGCCCAGAAGGGGGCTGCGGCTGGAGCCACACCTGGAGGTGGGGGGAGAGGGAGGAGAAATGTTAGTGGGGGAAGAATGGGGGAGAGAGGGAAGGAGAAAAGGAGAGAGGAATGGAGGAAGGGAGGGGGTGGGGGGAGAGGAGAGGGATGGGGAGGGAGGAGCCCCAGCCGTGCCGTCAAAGGCCCGGGGACTTGGCGCTGACTTTCGGTGCTCTAGGGGTTTGGTGGGGGGCAGACCCCCCATGGGCTGGATGGTGAAGGAAGGCTTCTTGGAGCAGGGCACTTGGCAGGCTCTCGAGGACAAGTGAGGGGGTCGGGAGGAGCCTGTGGTGCGTGGCAGGTGCCCCGTCACGCCAGGTCTGCGCTGGAGACGGGGCTGAAGGGCTGAGGGCGGGGCGGGGCAGTCGGAGAGATGGGCTTTGGGGAGGGCGGGGGCGGCAGACCGGTCCTCTCTGCTCCCGCAGGACTGGGAGTACACTTACGTCCACAGCTTCTACCACTGCGCCCTGGCCATGTCCTTCGTCCTGCTGCTGCCCAAGGTCAACAAGAAGGCTGGGAGCGCAGGGGCCCCCGCCAGGCTGGACTGCTCCACCCTCTGCAGTGCTTGCATCTGACTGTGCGCCACCCCCAGCTCCAGGCCCCAGCCCTGCCCCGGCCCAGGCCCAGCGAGAGTTCTCCATCCTTCCTGACCTCGGGAAGCACCTCTTCTCAGAGCCTGAGAGGTGCCAGGGACTTGGGAAGCACCTTGCTGAGTGCTTCTTGAAAACACACTTATTAGGTTTCTCCTGGGTGCTAGGTGCCCTCTGGAAAGAAAAGAACTTTCTCTGGTGGGCCAAGGTCAGGACCGACGAGGGCGCCTGCAGCCGCCTGCAGCCAGCGTCTGTCCTCCCCAGCTCCCCTTCCCCGTGGCTGTAGCCCAGCTGTGGCTCCGCCTGCCCCATGGTCCCCATGCTCCCACACCATCTCTTTCCTCTTGGAAACTGGTATCGCCTCTCCTGACCTCTGCCCTCAGGCTCTGAGCGGGCCAGGGCCAGCAGGGCTGCTCTGTCCCCGGCCCAGGCCTGCCTGCCCCTTGGCTGTCCATCCAGCCAGGTCCCTGAATCAAACCATTTCCATTCACTGCGTGCCCAAACTCTCACATTCGTCATTTCATCTAATTCTTCAAACAAGTCAGGGTAAATGACGCGTTCAAGGCCCAGAGCTGGGGAGTGTGGAGCTGGGCCCAGCTGCTGTCCCCCGGTCCCCACACCAGGCCAGCCACCGTGCTCTGCAGCTGACCCGTGCCCACGGTTGGAGTGCACTCAGGGCCTTTGAGGGCCCACCCTGCCCGCAGCTGCCCAGCGTGGGAAGGTGGGCCTGGGTACAGGGACCCGGAGTAGTGGCCGCCAGGCCCCCGGGCCGGCCTCACGGGGCTGGGCTCGCGGCTGTGTGGCGGCAGTCCGCCTGCTCCCACTCAGAGCCTGTCTGCACTGGCCCTGGGGGTGAGGGGGCGGGGGCGGGCCTCCCAGACATCACCTCACAGACCTGAGCCTCCCCAGCCTCCTGAATGACCCGGGCACATCTGTCAGGCAGGAAGTTACCTACACCTGTCTGCGGCCTGTTTGTGTTTCCAGACGGTGCAGTTACCCCCAGCTGCACCCACCCAGTCGGGCGGCGCGTTATTTGTCCTAAAGTCACCTCATCCATGCCTCGAGGGCCGGGAGAGAGGTGGTGCAAGCACCCAGGCTGGGGACAAGGCGGACCCCTTGGCCAGGCCCCCATCTATCAGCTTCCCTGGCTGCCCAGTGGTCCCACGTCTTGGGGGCCTGGACACTCGCCATCTTGCCCTGGCTCAGCCCTTTTCTGTCCCCATAGCCGGTTAAAACAGAGCGGCCACGAGGTCCTTGACACCTGCACTGAGGGTCATCGCCAGGCCCTCGGAGTGGGGCAGAAGCCGAGGCCCCACGTCTTCAGGGCCCTCCACCCAGAGATGTCCCCACGGGAGAGCAGATGGCACGGGACACGGAGGGGCCCCTCCACCAGCCGGATCTGGGCCCTGGAGGAGGGAGGGCAGGTCTAAGTTGAGGGATGCAAGCACACACACGTACACACACGGGCGCAGGGACACATGAAGAGACAGACGTCCTGGAACCAGGCTCTCCCCTCTGGTCCTGCCTTCTGTCTCCCCAGAGGAGCACCAGGCAGTAAGGCAAGGGGCAGGCTCCGGGGGCCACGCAGGGGTAGAACATGACATCTGCAAGGTGGCTGGCCTCCACCGGTCGCCTCCCTCCCCCAACCCTCCGCCTCCACCCTAGCACCTCCCTCCCAACCCCCTCCCTCCCCCGCGAGCACACCCCAGCTCCCAGCTCTGCAGCAGCACATGGAAAATTGGAGGCTGCGGGGTGCTCCCAAGCAGGGAGGAGGCAAGGGGCCTGCCAAGCGCGGAGGGGCTGCGCTAACAGGCTGCTCACTGTGGCCGCGCTGATTTATGAGGCTGTCTGGGAGCCCAGCCAAGTCTGTAAGTCATGGACAATTAGGAGGCGCGCTCCAGCCCTCAGCCCCGTCTGCCTCTCGGGCTCCAGGCCCGACTGCACCCCTTCTGACCAGGGTCGGCCCCCACGGAGACCCCTCAGAGGATCCCGGGTGTGGGGCCTGAGTCCACTTTGCAGATGAGGACACTGAGGGCCAGCGGTATTGGCAGCTGGCCCTCATCCCTTGGACATTGGCCACTGAGTTTGTGGCTGAGCCCGGGGTCTTGCCAGTCATCCCAGAGGCATCTTCCTC